TTTTCCTTTATCTGTTACTCTTTAGGTGGGGAGGAGGATTTCATTATTTGCGCTTTGGCCGGGGTGCCCAACGAAAAGTATGACACTATAATGTAGTAAGAGACGGATTCATAGCCCTGGTACTTGAGAGTACCCTGATGTATGTAGTGCCGCTTCATAGCCTTTGGCTCCATAAGCGAGATAATGACATATAATTGTAGCCATTCTGACTGCCCCAACAAAGGCAAGGTGTACCTCCACACTACCATCACCTACAAGAATTGTCAGGAACCACATCCAGTCACCTCCAAGGAGTGTCCTACATACAGCCACGCACACCTGGTAGTAACTGAGACAAGAAACAGGGCTGGATCCGGTTTTTACAAGTATTTCCTTTAGGATATTGGTTAGGCTTCAGGCAGAGCGGTAGACTTCCTTGTATTATTATGGCTTGTACCTACTAAACAGTTGTTACTAGTATGTAAGAGATGGATTCCCAGACCTGTAGCCTGAGGGTTACTTTATATATGTTAGTGCTGCTTCATAACCTGTAGGTTTTATAAGCGTAATAATATATAATAATAATCATAATCCTGGAAGTTAGTGTAGGGGGGTCTACTACCTTGGTGCACCTCACTCAGGCTGCATTAATTTCCACTTCTTTTACTTGCAGACCTGTCCCTTAACACCCCTACATGGCCTTCCTTTAAACCTTTCTTTTGGCTTTTTGGATTTTTCTCAGCTGGTTTTCCTGGTCCTTTCTGCTTTCTTCTTAGTTAGGATTTCTTTGTCTCTCTTCTGAGTCAAGCTTACATTTTTTTTCTTTGAAAGGAGATATGTGGTTGGCTCTATACCACAGGGGCTTAGGGGGTGGGCTTTTTCCTGTGGTCAAAGGAGGAATATACATTTTTTCTTGTCACCGCTAGCACTCCATATATTTCCCCTACCCTAAACAAATAATCCATGAGATAAATAAAAAACAAAAAAATCTCCAGCTTGGGGATTATCAGAGAATGGAGAACAGATCTTGTCAATATATTCATTGTACTTTGATACCTACTTTTTACTACAAGCTTTCTTGACCATTCTCCAAGAAACGTTATTAGTTATAGTCACAATTCACTTGACTTGAGAATTGACTACTGCCTAATACCTCTATGCATAAGGACACGCTGCACATATCTCTGATGTAGGAATAATTTTTGCTGATGGAGAAATAATACTACATCACTAAAAAAAAAGCTGTCAGCATTCTGAAGTCCAGCATAGAAAGGCATCCTAAGGACCTCTGGAAGAAGCAAATATAGAGGGTCAAAATTAGCTAAAATGTGTTATTTTAATAAAAAGATACAGGGATTTTATATTATATATTATAGTTTCAGTCTTATTGCTTGAAATATGATATTGAGTTTTGTATTTTAAAATCCAACTTGTGAAATTGTAGTAAAATCAATCATACTACTTTAAATCCCTGAAAGTGTACAAAATAATAGTTCATTTGCCAAGCCGTTTGGTGCAAACAATGTATTTTACACATCTTAATCCTGATGTAAAGATTTCCTATTTGGGCTACAGGATGCACCAGATATACTGCAGATGCATTCTGGATGCCTTCTATTACAAACTCACATTCCAGATGCAGGCTCATTTTTTTTACTGATGTAGGAAGGTTTTTAAGAGAGAAAGGATTTGAATCAGACAGGAGGAGCAGGCAGAATTGAATCCACAGTAAGAGCTAGGTGAAATCTACAGAAAATATAATGTCCCAGTATTAAGTGTCAATTTTGTTTTCAGCTGCTTCTTATTTTTCTTATTTTTCACTTCTGTTTCCTTCTAAGATCATTTCAACCATTTCAGAATATAGTCAGCTTTTCAGTTCCTCAAAGTTCTGATTTTCCTTTCTTCACGGCTATCTCAGCGAGTATTCTGAGTTGCCCTCTGGCACAGGTGGAGCTCATAGCTAAATGTAGGAAAGTAGGTAGCTACTATTTGTACCTTTTTAGAAGTCTCTCCTGGGACTGGCGTTCCTATTAGCGCTCAATTCTGAGTATACGATGACACTACAAGTACTCAAGTATGCAAGATTGTCCAAGGGGACAGCAACGCACAAGGCATACTGGAAGTAAGTGCTAGCAGGGTGCGTGAAGAAGAGGTAGAAAAAGAAAAAGAAAAATAACTCTCATATGTGTGCTCATAGTTGTCACAGCATGCACTGTACCATACAAGCAACTTATGTGGGATTTCGGTATACCGGCACGGCAACCAGCTGGGAGTAGTTTATGTTCACACACTCGCACTGCAATGTGTTTTCTTGTGCTGCACTGGTACTTGAGTACTGGTGCTATGGGCAAAGAGGTGAGGAAGTGGTTTGGCACAGCTGTCAGGAGGTTGTAACATGGAGTGGAAAAAGTTTGTGTGGTAAACTATGATTGGTAATGCAGGTTGATTCTCTACCGGTACTCGTATCGTATAGTGCCATTAGAAAAGTTTGGGGACAAAAGGGCTTGGCACACCTCCTGTATGACTACTGTCAGGGTAGATAAACAAGAAGAAGATAAAAATAAAATGAAAAGAAATCAATCAACTATATCAATACAAAGATACATGTATGTAGATAATATTAATATTTAGTTGGACCTCCTCGCACCTTAACAGTCTTTCGTATTCTCTTTCCCATATTTTCCATCATTCTATCCACCACTGCCCAATCTAGCCTCTCCCACTACTCCTGTGCTACTCCTATCAGTTCTTCAGCAGTTCTGGGACATTTGTCTAGACCAGAAATTCACTTTCAGAGTCTGGCTTTCAGCATATGCCAGACATTCTTGATCGGGTTGAGCTCGGGAGAGCTCAAAGGCCAATCACTCCTAACAGGCCCATACTCCTTTCTGCAATTCCAAGCAAGTGCAGAGCTATGAACCTGTAAACCATCCTGAATAGTTTCATGGTCTGCAGGCTCATTAGGCAAACTATGTACAAAGAGAACGAGGTAGGGCTCCAAGATCTCATAGGTATATTAGGTAGTATTCATACCTAATCAGTCTTGCTCACTGGTACCCTTGCCAGGTATTCTTTAACCAATTGATATCAGGGAAGTGTGGCTGCCATATGTTATGGCAGCCCAAACTGATATGTAGAAGTGACCAGGATGGTAGGTAGGAGCTAGGTATTCGGGATCTGTAGCTGAACTGGGCCCCAAAGGCCGTTACACCTTCTTTGGTCCACCTCCACCTACAATCTCAACTACAAACTCATCAGTGTAGACCTTAGATTTCCACTGCTCAGGTGCCCACTCTCTACGTAGTAGGGGCCAAGTATATCTCTTCTTCCTCTTCCTCTCATCAAGGTAGGGTTTCTTGCATGCAATGTGTACCCATAACCTTCTTTTCTCAAATACCATCCAGCTGTCCATGGTATTATATTCAATTGCAAGTCAGCGGTAATTTCTGACAAAGAAGCAGAAGGATCCTTATCAACAAGGCAGCGCAGGTATTGGGCATTGCGAGCACTAAGCTTTTGAGATTGTCCAGATCAATGAGCTGCGTGAAGTTTTCCTCCTTGCTTCCACCCCCTCCAAATCCGAGCAACCTCAGATTTTAACAATCCCACTTCCTGTGCAATCTGGTGATAAGTTTTTCCTTCTCCATACTTTTCAATCACACTTACTCTTTCTTCTTGGCTCACTTGTCTCTCTGCCTGCCAGTTTTTGGATTTATTGGCATTGTGGTTGTGGTGAGGAATACAAATCTTCATCATATGTACAGTTGCTTAACGGTTGGTGATCAGTCCAGTTGTCCCCGAACTTTTCTAACGGCACTGTACAATGTCATGTAATTGGGGGAATGAGGCTTTAATTGGAAATCCGAGGGATCGACAGTGACATACGGTGGGTGATACCTTCATCTACCAGTACCGTACAGCATCCAAATCTTACTCTCTTTTTTTTTTTTTTGAGTAAAAAAAAAAGAGAGACGAATGGAAGATGGTGAGTACTTGAGTACCGTACTGTCAAGGGCGGGAGCATTTGAATCTGGAGTCCACAGCTCTTATTCGAGTTGATTTCTCAGACATCCCCTGGAAGCAGATTTCCCTCCCCTCTTCCACTTTGCCCCCATTTTACATCACCCCCCCTCCCAATACCGGTACTTGCACTGAGCCCCCAATATCCCATCGCTCACCCCCCTCTCCTCTCCGGATTCCGTTCCTTCCCCAGTCAGGAAGTTGGAGATTAGCTACTTCCCCGGAGGTCCATCACTAGGAAGTGTAAAAAGAAGTGTCAACGTTTTTCGGGAGCACGAGCCCTTCCGCTCAATCGGTTCTGTCACTGCTACTTGCTATCTATTTCACGTCTTTCTTTCTCTGCAGCCCTCCTCCGTCCCGAGAAGGACGCAGAAGAGTGAAGGGAGGGAAGAGACCAAAAAAAAAAAACTTTCACCCGGCGCATTCCTTTCCCCTTTACCCTTTCTCTATCTACCGGTATTAGTCCACTTGTTCATCTCCAACTCGACGGTGTCCACAATACCGGTCTTATTGTCTAGAGGTATCCTTAAAAAAAGAAAAGAAAGTTCACCCGGAAGCGATCCCAGACACATAGGCTCGAGGAAGGAGGAGAGAATTCTAAGGGGGGGGGAAAAAGAAAAAGAAAAAGAAAAAACCAGAGAGAGGAGACTGAGGAAAACGGAAATTGGTCGTTGGACCCTTCAGGGCTTGAACTGCCAAAGCACTCACGTTTGGTTAGAGAGCACGTAACCTCCTTTTCTCGTTCTCGACCTCTCTCTTTCCAACAGGAGTTCACTCCCCCACGCTACATAACTTTCTGATCCAACCTCTGCTGCTGGCCTTTCCTCCGCACGGCCAGCCCTAGATAGACCTAGGTATTCTGAAGGTTACTCCCACCTGCATCCGCCACGCTGACGTTCACTCCCATACGTTCGACAACCGACTCAGAGTGGTCGGAGCCCTCCCCCGGTTTCGAGCACGAAGGAGACTAGACCCGGGTCCGGCTCATTTACTCACTGATCATGTCAGCCTCAAGGGCAGCGGTAAATAATAGAGGTCACGGAGGTGTCGCAGGAACTGGTAATGTTGTTCCTGCTGTGGGCAGTGGTGTAGATTTGGGAGGGGGGGAGGGAGGCGGCAGTGGTGGAGAGCTCGACAGGAATTCGCACGATAGGATAAACAGCGAGTTAGTGGACGTGGAGAAACATTCGAGGGACCCTTCACCCATGCGCAGGAACACATCAACCCCCGGACTCTCTGACAGCAATACTTCCACTTCTACCCTCAAAAAGAAGCGGAAGCCTAATGTCGTGAGATCAGCCGCGCCGTCACGAGAAACCTCCCCTACACGCTCCGGCACTCCTGCACCTGGTTCGTCCAGAAATGCCCAACCGCAATCTCAGCCGGATCTCCATCAACCACGACCGCACCGCCCTTTAGCGAACGCTCCTCATTGGCCTCCATCGACCCGGTTAGCTGTAACGAGAACTCCTCCCCCAGACTCTCGATCACCTGCCCTCTCCCCACAGAAGAAGGGCGACCGTACTAATTGCAACACTTCAGCCGGCGTTCCCCAGTCTGTTCATCTCTTGCGGGACAGGGAAGGAAATCCGGAGGATCTTGAGGAGTCTGGTTTGGCATCAGGCATGAGGACTCCAAGGAGTAACAATAGCCCGGCGCTGGAGACGGTTGTCGAGAGCAGCTTACCGACGACACCGGCAATCAGCACAAGCAAAACCTTGACGGAGCAAGTAGCAGCCCTGGTTAATCGACAACAGCACAATACAATTCCCGAAGAACCAGAAGGGGAAAAGTCGGGCGCGGGGGGGACGAGGAAGCATAGAACTAGCTCGATAGCGTCTTCAATAGCGCCACGATCGCAAGCGGAATCCGAGTCAGAGTCGGGCTACAGGAGTGAGGAGAAAACAGCATATGCCAACAACAATAACAACGGCAGAGCTCCACCTCCATCGAAAGTGTTTGCTAGAAGACCTGCGGTCATGGGATCAGATAACTTTTCGAGGAATATGACGGTGGAAACGGAAACAGTAAGCTCGGTTCCGCAGGTCGCTGTTGGGGCTACCGGGGTGCCTGGGGGAGCAAGCATCAGGAGCAAGAAGAGCAGCGATACAATACGAGCACCTAAGAAGGAGAAGAGGAAACCAACGAAGCGTACTGGAGGCGGAGGGTCTACAAACCGTCAGTTGCTGATAAGATCTACCTTACTTTTGATTATGTTTGACTGATGTATCCCTGTAGCATCGAGCAAAGCAGACCTGTTTGCGAGGAGGGTCGCCGAGGCAGTTGACGAGGCAAATTCATCAGATTCCGAGGAAACTTTTGTCTACGAATCGAATCCCCCTGAAGCGTCGCAGAGACCTACTAGCAGATTCCATTCACGAACCCCGAGCGCAACATCGATCCAAGGGGGGCTAGATCCTCGGGGGTTGCGATTGCCTCTGCTTAGTTCGATGGATGGAAACCAGAGCACTGGGAGGAATAGAATGAAATTCGCAAGCGCCTCGGCGGGTAACAATGCCAATGCGGCAAGTGATGGGGGCGCGGGAGAAGGAAGCGGTGATAGAGGGGGAGCAGGAGGGTCGGGCTCATCGGCGGCTGTTGCGGGAGCTGGCGGCTCAAGGTCGGAGGGGCAGTCAGGTTCCGGACAGAAGGAAAAGGGTGGGAATTCCAGAGGTCAGAATGGGCATCGGAGTCTGTTTCTGCAAGAGTCTCCACTTCTATCTTCGCACAAATCATCGGCACACTCTTTACGGACTAGCTCGACCATATCTTCTCGACAGTCAACGTCAGGTCGTCATGGTTCTGGTTTACGGAACGGGGGAAGCGGATATGGCTCGAAGAAACCACCACGAACATGGGCGTCGTACGAGGCTGATGGGGAAGGTGCCGGTGATGAGAGAGTTCCTCTGATTAATCGGGCGAATCGGACTCATCGCCACAGCCGCAGGCCTGGCAGTGGAACTCTTCGTCAATTGGAGCACAGTCAACCTCAACGCCGTGGGTGGTTCAGGACATATATATGCTGTATCGTTGCGGTGTTCGCTGTCCTTCTGATTATGACTGGCGTAGGAGGGTTCTTATTTGCTACCACCAAGGCCCTACAAGAAGTCAAAGTCTTGGAGATTACGGGAGTTTTGGTGAGCAAACAGGAACTGATGCTCGATCTTGTTGTCTCGGCAGTGAACCCTAATGCCATCCCCGTGGTAGTGGGTAACATGGACGTCAACCTTTTTGCCAAGAGCGCTCACGTGGGTGACGGCAAAGGGAAAGATGGGGATGGGAGAGGTGATGGTCGTGATGGGGACGGAAGTGTAGGGGATGACGACCCAGAAGGAGACCCCTGGTGGAGGCTACTTAACCGGAGGAGGAAGAAGCGGGTAAGACGTCGCCAGATGGTGGAATTCACCCTCGGCAAAGGCCGAGGCACGATCCCTTTTACTGCTACTATTGCGCCTGACGGTGTGGACGAAGGCACCGACCCACCAGAGGATCTCCCAGAGCAGGATCGCCAGACAATGCTCCTAGGCCGAATATTTTCATTCGATTCAGCCCTCTCCTTTGACGGCTCTCCCCTCCGCCATAGACACGCAATCTCTGTTGGCGAGTTGCGCTTGGCGAAACCAGGCAACAAGACCGAGGAAGGGGGAACCGAGCGCTGGGAACGAGTCCTTCAGCACCCCTTCGAGCTCATCGTTCGAGGGGTATTAAAATACCAATTACCCCTAAGCGGCCGCGTTAGAACCGCGCCAATTGGTGCATCGGTATTGGTTCACCCTGACGGTGCTACATCGGCCGTTAGCCCGGGGACAGTCCCATAGCCGAGCGGTTTCATGGGCGATTAAACAAGAAGTTTATGTTTGAACAAGCACACGCAAAGCAAAGTATCTTTTAGTTGGAGCATGGAGTAGAGAATGGTGTCTTTTTATAGTCCTTTTTAAACTTGTCGTTCTCTTTCCTTTTCTCCTCTTTTTTGTTTCTAGATTAGTGGTGCCTCTGTTCTTTGGGATATCATTGCGGTTGACTGGTTGCCCTGTTGCCTAGGGGGTGATGCTTTCCCCCCTTCCTCTTCCCTCTCATTATTTCTAGTTTTCTTACGCTTACCTTACCTTACCTTACCTCACCCCACCTCACCTTTTGGATATTCACTTGTTCAATGTGTTTTCTGCATGACGTTACTGGCTGGGCGAATGTTTCTCTTTCTCCTTTTTATAAATCGATTGATGATTGACTGGCCTGGCTCGTGGTGAATCGCCAATAAAGTGGGGGGAATAGGAAGGGAGGAGGGGGCTGGTATGGTAGGTAGTTCCCTGTTGCTTGACGGAGGGAGAACTATATCCTATGCGGATATTAATGCGCGGGGATGTGTGGGTGAGGCTGTATAGAGGAGGATGGGATGGGATGTGGGGGGGGGTGGATGCTTGATGGGTGGGTGGAATGAGGTACTGGTATGGTTATCAGACCATGTCTACTTCTCTTGCGCTTGCGCTGGAAAGTCCTGGCGCGTGGTCGTGTCGGCGACATGTGTTATCACTAATATACTTTATTGCTAGTAAACAGTGTTACATTGGCTGCCCTAGAAACGACCGTACCATTTCTCTCCGCTTCCATCCTAGGATTGGGGCAAACCTTTCTTCCCTCGCCGAGGTCCGGTCCGCAAAAAATTCCCCCATTAGGGTCGGTTGTACAGTACAATCTGTTGTGAGGGGATCCGTCTCGTTCGGTAGAGCAGTAAGATGTCTACAGTATCGTATTATAACCCCCGAAACTTGGCCATGCTCTACAAGCTTCGCTCCAGGGTTCTCAAGAACACTGAATATTTGCCCAGATTTACTCTGAGTGTTCCGCATTCCAGAAGGGACGAGTAAGGATGAAGGGGCGGAATCTTGCCCTTTCCCTGGCGGGCGCTTCTCACTCATAGTTGAGAACAATTGAGCTAGCTGCACAAACCGCATTTCTCAGTCCCAGCGGGCTCTGCGACTCTAAGATTCGTTCATCACCGTCCTAGGGAATTCTGAGAAGTCCGCAATGATATTGTACCAGTTGCGGCTGGTCATCTATAGGACAGTGTAGAAAAAGCTTTAGAAGATGGCGGTGAGAACCACAACAAGTGCTATAAGTTAACGTAATACTAGGAGATCTATTTGTAGAAAACTCAACGTTCAAATAAAAATAAAATAGAAATTACATGACAATGAAAAGAAAACCATAATGCATAATATTATAAAGTAAAAAGCATAACTTGTATAACTAATATGAAATAAATGTAAGAAACATGAATAAAAACATTGGAGGTGTCTGATATACAGTATGGTGCAAGCAGTTTAAAAAGGAAACCTGAAATTTTACATTTTTCAAATCCATAAAGCTCCACAACCATCATATATCATTGCTGAAAAAAATGAAAAAAAAAAACTTTCTGAAAAAGCAGATGAAGGAAAATATAAAACAATTTGGTTTTAGCAAATATAATTGTGGTTGGAGAGCCTTAAGGATTTAAAAACATGTATTTTGAATATGGAAGACAAAAAAGTATTACAGAAACCACAGTTGATTGGCTTAGTAAGTCTGAATTTATTTTATAATATATTATTTCTATATTTTTTTTCTATATTAGTTCCTATTATAGATAGAAATTAATAGTTTCTTTAAATCCTTATACCTTAAATCCTTTCTGCAATAAACTTTTATATGCTTTTAGTATTCTGTCTTGGCATTCAAATTTACACTGCTATAATATTATGTAACACCCTCTGTACAACTAAGTTCCCTTTTTGAACTTACACCATATTTAAATTATTATATATAAATATAAAGATCATAATGAAGTAATAATTAAAGTTAAATAGATTGAAAGATTCAGACTTAAGAGAGAATAATTTGTTAGTACTACAATATTTGTATAGCGACTATTTTACTCTAATTGTAACAATTTGTACCTACAACAGAGGCCTGTATAACAAGTAATAACTTCTCTTACCTAACTCTATAGTTCTTAAACCAATGTCTGTGTTGTATGTAATAGCCAGGTCCTTGACTGCTATTGTACAACTATAGAGTTATCTTGTAACCAATAGTTTTCTGAGAATAATAAATATTTAAAAGGATAATGGATTTTCTTAAGTAAATAACAAAACTAATAAGTAAAGAAATAAACAGATAGTAGTATGAAGAACTCTACTTCTTGGTATATTTATAGTCTAAGGAAAATTCCATCTAGTACTCTATTCAGGTAGGGTAAAAAAACCTTTGCACATTTACTTGTCCACACCTAAGAAAACCTTTCCTGACAATACTACCTCAGCCATATAAATTCTGGATTGTCTCTCTGGAATTCCTCCACCAAGTTAGTAGCATGTTTGAGATACTCCAGTGGTTGCCAGGTGTTTTTAGCCTCTGAACAACCTGTCCACTTCATGAAATATTTGAGTTTCCTGATACGCTTATTCTGTCCAGAGACTCTTTTCATGTAGGAGAGAATTCCCCTTTTAATGATCTTCTCTACCTCCCAGTTCAGATCGCTATAGATCTCCTCTAGTACCTGTAGCCTCTGTTTCCCTTCTGGTCAAATCGATATTGGCTAGGGTTCGAGTAGCAAGATATGAAATACAGGATGGATTCTCCATCCCTCAAATATTTCCAACTTGAAAGCACAGTCTCCTCTTCTCTCGAGTATTCGAAACGGTCCTTAAAGCTTTTAACTTAGTTTCTTAGAAGGTCGTTGTAGACTCCATTGCCATTACAACCCCAGCAAAAGAGAAAACCATACCAAATTTTTCGCCAAGCTTCCACCTCATTGGCTGACAGCCAAATCTCACCGCTTTCCCTACTCCTAGAGACTTTTCATCAACAAATCATCATACCCCGTTACCGTTACAACCACTTTGGAAGAAAAAACCAGACCAAATTTTTCGCCGAGCTTCCACCTCATTGGCCCACAACCAAGTCTCACTGCTTCCCCAGCCCCTCTTACAGACTTTTCATCAACAAATCATCCTTTATTATTTGTTTTCCATCACCCCTATCAACTGAGTCCGACTCCTGACGCCTCTGATGTCTTCCAAAGATAAAGGCAGAGGGAGGGGGTCTACAAACCGTCTTGCACCCCCTTTTAATGTAACGGACAGGGTCTGAGGGTGGGGTAGTCCAAGGCACACCATGATCAGGACAGGCAGGAATCTGGAGAAGAGGTCTAGGTGCGGGGGCACAACTGAAGCGAGTTGTACGAGGTTCGGGGTTCAGGGG